GGGAAAGAGAGCCAGACAGTCAAGATGAGACTACTGCTGATGTTAGGCCAGACAAAGCTGTAGCTGAGATGAGTACAACAGAAGTGCAAGAACGTAGAACTGAAATTCCAGACAGTGTGGCTCAGAGAGACTCTGCTCAGCCCACCTCGGATGCTTCTGAAGCATCATTACCACATGAGGCAGGGACGGAATTGACAAAAGTAAGCTCATCTGAACAGGCTATAGAGAAACCAAGCCAAACTGAGTCTCCGATAGCGCCCATTAAAACCACACATGACAGACCCAAAGTGATCAAAAAACACTATTTCCAAGAACAGGTGTCTGCAATGTCGACAGATGGCATGGACAGTGCACCGAAGAGCTTGGATAAAAAGTCTGTTAAGAAAGACAAAATCCGCAAGAAGCCTAAAAAGCACATTATACAGGCATATGTACCGATCAGTCCAGAGCAGCATGAAGACACATCTGTCACAGCAGCAGAGGAGCCAAAGATTGGAGTTACTCAAACAAGTATCCAGAGGGAAAGAGAGCCAGACAGTCAAGATGAGACTACTGCTGATGTTAGGCCAGACAAAGCTATAGCTGAGATGAGTACAACAGAAGTGCAAGAACGTAGAACTGAAATTCCAGACAGTGTGGCTCAGAGAGACTCTGCTCAGCCCACCTCGGATGCTTCTAATGCACTCCACCCATGTGAGACAGAACTTATAGAGACAGCCTTCTCTGAGCAAGTCATAGGAAAACCTGGCCAAACTAAAACTGAGACAGGGTTCTTGAAAACCACACTAGAAAGAGCTACAGAAGATAAGGAACATGGGGTCCAAAAAGAGCACCCTGTCACAACAACAAAAGAGATAAAGATAGATGTAGTTCAAACCCAGAGTGAAAGAGAGCCAGAGAACAAAGATAAGACCGTGGCTGTAGCTGCAACAAGAACAGAATTGCAACAAATCAGCACTGAAATCCAAGAGGATGTAAAACATAGTGAGTCCACTCAGCCCACCTCTGTTGCAGAGCAGCCAAGCAAAACTGTGATCGAGCTAGGCTTTTTGAAAACCACAGTGAAAACACCTGAAGAGATCAAGGATCACAAAGTGGAAGAAGAGCATGCTGAGGTGTCTACAAAAGACTTTAAAGATGCACCCCAGAGTCTAGATGACAAGTCGGTTGAGGTGGAGAACATCTGCCAAGGGGATGACATGCTCATTTTGGAACCAAGTACGGAGGTCACTGTAAAGGAGCATGAAATCACATGTTTTTCAGCAGCAGGGGCACCAGGGTTTGATGTAGACCAAACAAGTATCCTGTGGAAAACAGACCTGACTTCTGCCAGTGAACGCCCAGAAAAGGCTGCATTAGAGATGACCATGGTGGAAGTGAAACTCGATCAACATGGTCATCAAGAACAGCAGGATAAACTGTCAGCACATGAAATGGATGATCAAGCCAAGGTCCTCAATGAAAAGTTTATCACAGTGGAGAAAATCCCCAAGGAAGCTAATGTGCATACTTTAGATGTCTCTGTCCTGATAGCGAAGGAACCAGCGACAGAAATATCTCAAACAAGTATGGAGTATGAAAAGATGCCAGAAAGCAAAGATAAGACTACAACTGACCATGAGAAGGCAGCAGTTAAGATAAAAGATGAAACGCAACAAGTTCAGTCTGGAAGTCAAGAGGATGTGCCTCAGAGTGACTCTGCTCAACCAGTATCTGCTGTCTGTGCAGCAGTGCAGCCTTCTGAGTCAAAGACAGAATCTGTCCGAGTTACACCAAGCCAAAGGGACACTCAGTTTGAACTCTTCAAAACCACACTGGAAAGACTAGAAGAGGTCAAGGATCCCAGTGTCCAAGAAGAACAGGCTAACATGCTGACGCATGAAATGCATGGCGTACCCGGGAGCCAAGATGCCAAACCGGTTGAAAGGAAAGAACTTGACTTGAGTGTACAAGAAGAAAAAGGTGTCACAACAGAAAAGGAACTAAGCATGGAATCAACTATCGAGCTGGAGACAGTTAAAGTAAGTGAGGATATGACTGCTACGGATGGTCAGCCTGACAAAGCTACAGTAAAGATGGCCAGGGTAGAAGTACAAGAGACCCGTGCTGAATCCCTGTCTGGACTTAGTGTGGCTGCTATAGCCGACATGGACAGACACAAAACAGATGCAACAGAAAAGAAAGAGGAGCCAAAGGAGGAGAAGAAGAGGGAAATGACAGCCAGAGTAGAGCTACGAAAGCCCCCAATGACAGCCACCACAGGTGAAGAGAAGCCCCAGGGCTTTGATTTGCCACAGGTGAGACATGAAGGACACCAACCTGCTTTCTGACAGTAAAAAAAAAAAAATCTTCAGTATCATCTCTGTGGGAGGAGCTGACTTAGTTTGTATTTCATTATTAATTAACTGCCATTACATGCCAACTATTTCAAGTTTGTATTTCAAATACATTCGTAATAGAACTTAGTCACCAATGGGTTAATGTCCATAATATGTGTAGTATTTAAAACCTTTTCTGAAGGAACCAAATGTATCTCCACATGTTCCCCCCCTCCACAGTATGTCTGTATATCTTATTTT